AGTCATTTGCACTGAATTTTGTAATGTATTGTTTAAATTTATCCTAAGCTGATTGTTAAAAAAAAATCCCGATTGTTTTAAAAATTGATGTATGTATCTTATATGTAACTTTATATTTTGATTGCGTTGTCATTGTACGCAGTGAATGGTGATGATTTCATCACGACAGAGAAAAACCTGAGCATGGATGCTTATGATAACAACAATGAAAAATAGGCCCCCAGTGTGTGTCTACTGCCTAAAATTCTATAGAAACGATGATGTGGAAAATTATTAATGATTTAATGGTTTAACATCATGAGAGTAAGTGGGGGTGTTGATATTATACTCTCATGTATAATTGCCTATTCATTGTATACGCTACAGTCCATGATATTTCCTGTTAATAGATACATTGCAGTGACAGTGATATCCCTATCATGTTACCATGACAACTGTTCCTGTTACCATAGAGGAATTAATAAACTAATTCCTCCATGCTGTTACTAACCACACATACCTAAGTTTAGACAGGGAGTTGTTAGATATCTACCTACACATGACCTCCATCGGAATTGGAAAGGTCAACTGTAGTGTCTACCGCACCTATGTGGGGGGGGGGGGGGGGGGGGGGGGGAAGGGGAAGCAGTAGACACAATGATGATATGATAATTATCAGTATAATGATAATCCTGATGATGATAATGACGGTGATCATGAGGATGTTGACAACGATGAGGGTAATTATCGTAGGCCTACTGGTGTAGCATGAGGCAAAAGTTCCCGTTAGCAAAAATGGTCCATAGTGAGCTGTCTGATGGTTGAGAGTGAGCTGTCAAATGGTCCAGAGGGAGTTGTCAGCAGCTCCATAAACTGAACGTTAATTGGTTTTAAGAATGTCCATTGGGAGTTAACAAGACAAGAAACCCATTACAATCACTCACTTGGGCTTCACTGGTAATAAATAATTTAAGAACCCATCGCTATTCAACAACCACCAGGATTTATAACCCGGGTTTTTTTTTTTTTTTTCCAAAAGTCGGGTGCCTGGACCATTTCTGTTAATGGCAAAAAATGCAGCATGGATAATATAATAATTATCTTCATTATCATCATCATTGAACGTGTCTTATGATAGCACATGATGTAACTTCGGTATTGAGATACACCTCCACTGGTGATCAATAAAGTTGATAATAAATTGTTGAGAAAACACATGTTTCCACATCGGGTTTTGAACCCAACACCTTCCGATTGCCGTTTAAATATTTTAACAACTGAGGTAAGAGGCTAAGTGGTATATACGCCCTTGGATTGTCCCATTAGTATGGAGATACACGTATTGTCCCTTTGAATCATTTGAAGAAAGCTCTTGCTAGTATATATAATTGACTAAAATAATGTCAATATGATTGAACGATCAATTACTGAATATTTCAATTCTTTGTGTCCAAATTTTAAGTGGGTTTTAATGCTGGCTCAACTGTATTTTGTTTTTGATAATGACCAGTGTTCTTTTGTCAAAATCTGTTTTAAATAATATTCAGTTTGTTAACAATTAAGAATAATCAATATAGATATATATATATATATACCTTGCTCATAATTCTCAAATACCTTTGTGGCGGTATGCTTGACATATCGTGTTCATTTCCTCAATATTGATTTGGCCAAGTTTCGACAAATACGTCTTTATGTCTATGATGAACAAGGCGCCAACACAAAAGCGCGCAGCAACAACGGTCAGTGCGATAAAGTAGTGACACTATCCTGCTGCAGTTTAAATTTTATCAAGCCAATGGCTAATGGGCTATGGATATTTTATAGTGTTTTTTCCAATCAAATTGTTTCCATCAAATTTTCATTGATGTCAATCAATCTTCCCTGAAATAACAATTGTTTATTCTTGATAGTTTAAACTGTTTTAAAAATTCATTTTTTTTGGCATTTAATGTCTGTTAATTTGGATTTCAATAGCTTATTGCTGATATATTGTTTTTTTTTATGTATTTTTTTGTAAACATGTTCAGTATAAGAGAGTCACTTGATAGTGCTTGCACTTTTGTTAATCCTCAGATAGGAAACATCTTGTTTGTGGTATGTTTTAACTTGTGTTGCTTTTACCTACATATTGAATAAATGAAATGAAATGAAATGCCCATCAAAGGCTGCTAGTTATTGCTAGTGTATTCCAAGTGATGTTGATGCAAAGCAAGTTGCTCATAAGACGTCCTTAAAAATATAATCGTACTGCGGAAATTATATGAACTTTAATGGGGGAGGGGGGTCGGCTCATGCCTTATCTGGACTTCAATAGATTAATATTTTCCACTATAATACAACATCCCTAGAAAGCCATTATTAATTTTAGTTGTCGTCGGTCATTTTACAAATCCAGTACTAGTAGTATACTATGTCTCCAAGTTCTAAACTGCATTTGCTGCATTGAAGGAACGCTAGGTACAATACAAGTGACATCACGCAATGACGTCACTTTCACGAGCCGATTAATATTTTGCTATTTGTATATAATTTAAATACACTTTTATTATTTGTAAATAATTTCAAAGTGTTTAATTATATAAAAAAACATTATATTTTGTAATTTTCATTAATTATAAATACGTATAAATAATAACTTGTGAACTCTTATTATTATGTTAATAATGAATTACATATGCGCCAAGTGTACAGTAATTGCAATTTTGTATATGATGGAAAGTTAAATTGTCATTTAAAATTAATTTACATTTGGTGTCTCATACTTCAAATCTAGGCTTATCTTGTGTGATCCTTTTAATTATTTTCTCGTTATTTTCATAGCAACTAAAGTTATCTTATTGGACTAAAATTAGACGTCAATACTAATTCGTAACACATGACTTAGGAGGAGTCTTCTCGAAATAATCTATCAAAAAACAAACTTCCACTAATTTCAGGGAAAAAAATCGCTTATTACAATTTCTAGTCCTTTCTAATTTTTACATTTAGACTGCATAAAAACTCAAAAGCTTATGATCTGTAATCCAGTTGATATTTGGAAGCTTTGGCAAATCCTCATCACAAAGCACATTGCCAAAAAAACTAAATCAACATTCTAGCTATGTTTTCATCGTCTGCCACTTATTGACACCCTTATTGAATAAATCTGGAATACATGAAGAAATATTTTGCTATAAAGGAACACACAGCAAAATAACTTCTATTCTCCTCGGCAATCTTATTTTCTAACTATGATTTGATGAGCTGCTTGTTTTTTTTCAGAAGCTTCTTCACAATTTTGCTTATTACTTGTATTTTGCAGAACTGCTGATGTGGCATGTGCCATCACAGAATCTCTGTTCTGGCACTGGCAAACCTCTGTGTGTTGAGCCTAGGTTCATGCGTCTAACAGTACCACCTTCAGAAGAAATAACGTTTAATATAAACTAATAAAGCCAAACTTTGCTTTATTTAGAAGAGCTGTCAAGAACGCTATTTTTGCAGCTTCTTATTTTTCGATTTGTGTTGTTATTATTCTTGTTATTGTTATTAATACAGTAGTTATTATATCAGACATTTTGTTTTAACTTTCTTATTTATAGGGGCCAGGACATCCCGATAACACTTACCATTCAATTTTGCTATTAGGTCAAAAAAAGAAAATAATGTTGTGTTGGCCACGCCCGACCGACCCAAATTTTACAAATAAGGTTAGAATAGCTTTGGCGAGGCTAGGGAAGCAAGGCTAGCCTATTTTGATGCGAATCCAAATTTGTTGTATTATTTTTGTATTTCTAGTTTTTAGGCGTAAACAAAATATTTGGTTGTAAAAAAAAAGTTTTCCTACCGACCTACCCATTTTTGAGATGTTCGCAAAACGTGGCCAACGTACCTATAGCTGCTCACTTTGGTTTCAAATAAACTTAAACAATTTTCTGGTGAAACAACATGAGTTCAACTCCTTAACCTTAAAATGCTCTAAACACCAACGCATGATCCAAACCAAGATGTATTTTATACAATGCAAAATCATGACTCATCTAACTGAAACAACCTCAAATTAGCTCATCGTCTTGCTATCTTAAGTTTATTTCCTACCTTTATTATTAACTTTATGACACGTTGGTCATCAAATCTTTCAATATTTTGTTAATTTTTTTCATGCCTACGCACATGCGTCAAGGATAGAGTATAGACAATTCATATTAACTGTTCTAATTAAAGTGACAATCCCTTTCGCAAGACAAACATACACACACAATACTTTACACAAATTAAATCTCAAATTCTTAGGGAGTGGAGTTGGGATTGGAAGGCAAACATTATAAGATACTACCGTTTCAGAGTCTATAGTAGGCCTATAGCTTTCCATAGCTTTTGCTGTCTTGCCGACAGCATTATTCGGTGGACTGTAACTGAATAACCTTTCGTATGTGACTGTGATTGGAGTAGTCACATGGCAGCGGATTACCGTATATGGCTGGGACAGTGGCGGCTCTAGGATATAATTTATGGGGGTGGGGAGCTAACTATTTATGGGTGTAACTATAGTGCACAGCATTTTATCTGAGGACTGAAGGCCCGAGCCAGGGGTGAGTATGGGAGGGGGTGTCCCCCCCCCCTCTCAAAACCAGATTTTTAAATAATTGGGACTTCTAGATGGCCAGAAATGGCTGGGATGTGAAAACTAGGCCTTTTTTTTTTGGTTCGACTGCCCGACGAGCTTTGGCCGATGAATAGGGGGCATGACCAGATCGCGCTCCCCCGCTGGCGCCGCCACTGGAGGTTATTGCCCGTTTCTCTGTTGAGGGTCGACTTCTGCACTAGTAAATCGATGCTCTCCCTGATTTTTCTCATTAATTTTTTTTATTATCCCTATCCAGCCCTTCTCAACAAGATGATGATTGTTGGTATTTTTAGAAGTTGGTGTACTTGTTCGACAATCTCCATATAACACCACATTGTCAGTCTTATTCATGTTGTCCAACATGACGGTCTACTTGTTATTAACTTTCGTTTTCTTCATTTGTTATTTTAAGGTAAAGAAATGGTAGACTATATATGTGACTACCTGTCTAATATACGTCAACGTAAAGTTGCACCAAACGTTCAACCAGGCTACATGAGAAAAATTATTCCCGATAAAGCCCCACAGAAAGGCGAGAATTGGGACGAAATATTCCAGGATATTGAACGAGTTATAATGCCAGGGGTAGGTGAAAAAATTACTTGAGTATGAGAAATCATGACTTATCATTTATTGCTCTTTGTGATCAGAGTATACATGGGTTAGAAAACGAGATTTAAATTGACGCGTAGAACTATGAATTATCAATACTGTGGGTGTTTTTATTTTTTTATTTTTTTGAAAATTTAGCCATATGGTATTGAAACTGATAGCCGTAATGATATCTTATTTTCAATCATAAAAAAATGGAAATGCATAATGAAGTATGATCATGTTCCATTGTTACTGTTATCAACCGAACTTATCACAGTAGCCATTCTCCTTTCGTGTTTACCAATAATCTAAGGTTATATAAATAATGAATAATAACAGTATCAATTGACAATTGAAGACAACGCTTATCTAAGCAGCAGGACGGAAAATATTTAGCCTTAACGATGGCGATTATCATTGGGACCCTCGAATAACAATAATCTCTTTGTTAGACCATGGAATGGAGCTATACGGTATTTAGTCGATTTTATTTGAATTCAGGACACTAGAAACGCGAGATGTAGGCTACTACTACTACTGCTACTGCTACTGCTGCTGCATCTGCTGCTGCTGCTGCTGCTACTACTACTACTGGTGGTAGTAGTAGTAATGACAGTGATAAAGATGATCCTCACTCTCTTGGGCAAAAAACAATAAGTAAATAAAACGAATTCTAGACCCACCTTTTCAAGGCCCTAAAGCTGATTTTTTTTTTGTTACAATAAGAAAATTCAATTCAATTTTTAATTAATGTGTTTTTTTATATATGCCTTATTTCTTCCATTTTTTTATCATTGGTTTTATGTCTGGTGCTGTGCTTTTTATCCACTGGTTTTTTTATGTTTGTGTTGTGAATTTCTTGAATTTTGGTGTCCTGTTTTTAAATTTTTAAGCAGTCTTTTGGCTGTCTGTTTGTAATTTTTAATTTATATTTTTTTTCTAAATAAAGAATAAAGACCATTGAATACAAAATTAGAAGTCGGGAAAACTCATTTTCTGCCATCTAGGAATCAACATTTTCTCGGGGGAGGCCCCGACCCCCTTTTATTTTTGGGGTTTATCGATACATGGAAAAAAGAATATGTATGCAAAGTATGTAGGCATATACCGGTACACACATAATAGGCCTATTTACTGTAATAAGAATGAGAAATATTTACCTGACCTTTTTCAAGGGTCATTAAAAGACACTTCAGAAGTCGGTAAAGCTCATTTTCCCGCCATTTAGAAATCAAAATTTTTCCGGGGGAGAGCCCCCACCCCACTTCTTTTTTGGGATTGATCGATTCATGGAAAAAAGAATACGTATGCAACTACTTAATTTTTTGTATGTATGTATTCAAGTGTGTATACATACATGCCAAGTGTGTAGGCTATGTGTGTATACACACGTTGGAATATGTTTATGTCATTTAGTGTGTATACATACATACACACTTGGAATATAAGGCATGTTATGGCAAAATGCCCAAGTTGTAGCAAAAATTGAAATCCAAGTTATTGGTTTTTTTTACAGATACCTGAGTATGTGATCATTAAAATGAGGGGTCATTCATTCAAATTGGACATTTTAAGCCTAAGTTATTGGAAAGTAAAAGTACAGTACTCTTAGAGTCAAGATAAACAGGATTTTGAGTAATTGCCTTTCAAAGTTATTTTTGCATAGGCCTACATTGTTTAACAGAATAAACTATGAAAAATAACGTTAGATAAACAATTTGTTAACCACTTCCAGAACTAATACATGGGACATGATTAATAAGACATTAAACTGTTGACCTATAGTGAAAAACAAATTTAGATTATTAGGCAATTTTTTGAGCTCCCATATTTTATAGCTCATTTACTCAGTACTGGTCTGTGCGACAACTTAACCATTTCTCCACAACATGCCTCATATAGTTTTGCTATATTAAAGTGTGTATGTATGTATACACATTTGAAAATAGCATAAACATATTCCAACGAAAACTACTAAGAAGAATACTAAACATCAAATGAACACATATCAATGAAGTCTAAAGAGAATGAATTAGGCAAAACAAGAAAAAGGAGGAAACTCAACTGGCTGGGCCATCTACTCAGACTACCAGAAAATGTACCAGAAAAAAAATCGCACTAAATGAACACCTAAGAAAAGCAAAAGGAAACAGAGGACGACCAAAGCACACATGGCTGAAACAAATAAATACTGATCTGAAACCCACAGACAAAACTTTTAACACACTCACGCCTGATGATTAAAAAGAAGAAGAATGTATACACACATAAAATAAGAATGAGAAAAATTTACCTGACATTTTTCAAGAGGGGAAAACCATGAATTTTGAAGACCTTAAAAGCCTAAAAGGCATTTAAGAAGTCGAGAAACTTCCCGCCATCTAGAAATCGAGATTTCTTCGGTGGTAACCCGGACACCTTTCTCTATGGGGTTCATCGCTTCATGGAATCGTTTTCATTAGGCGAAAACCTTGAATTTTGAAGAACTTAAAAGTCATTAAAAGACACTTCAGAAGTCGTGAAAGCTCATTTCCTGCCATCCAGGAATCTAAATTTTCCCTTGGGAGGATCCCCCGACCCCTCTTCATTTTGGGTTTCTTGGGAAAAATGTTGCCCCCACCCCCTAAATTTGAACCTATTCGTATTCCCATTCGTCATTCTAGTGGCCCCCACCCCACCTTGAAAAACGTTCCGCCGGCCCTGTGTATCAAACATTAAAGGGTACAAAGGAGGCAACATTTGATACCACCGGCATCAGGTTTGACTAGGTAGTAGCGGATGAAACCAGACACACACACAAAACTAATCCTCTAATTGGAGAGCAAAAAACACAACCTAACGAGTCCAATACTTTAACAGGTCAACAAATGTGAAAGATGGTAAATGGCAAGTGCGTGATAATCTAATGAAACTTGATCTTACTGAAAATACTGCCTTTTTGCATTAAAAAATTTAGGAAACAAAATAAAAACTCATCAAAAACTTCAAATTCAAAATCATTTCCGGTAAAAATTCATACAAAAATACATACATAGAACATGAAAATAACAAAAACAATTAAAACAAAGAGGGTGCTGCCAACACAGGATTACAGAAAGTACACAAACGTGGCACTCTCATGTGGCTCTCCAAAGCAGCATTTAAAATACAAAGAATACAACACAAATATACACATCTAGATGTGTATAAGAGACAG